AGCTCCATTTTTTCATGGTGTGTTTCTAAGGCTTTTCCTATTGTTGCCGTGACAGCTTCCCATTTAGGCGACCCTAGCAGTCTTTGATCATTCGGTCATCTGTCAGAGAACCCCAACTTCAGATAGATATCCATTTTAGCCCTCCCGATCCAGGCCACACAGGCTTCTTCAGTATAGTACGTCAACTGTTCTTCTACCATTTACTTATTTTATAGGAAAATAGCCTGCGAGAAGACACAATTACGCGACACAGAAAGAACCTATTGCAATGCGCAAGGCCACATAAGCCGTACATGAACCGTCCATATGTTTGTTTGTTTGTTTTTTGACCCATATCTGTGATATAAATCATATTTCGATTCAATAGAACACATATAGCGATACTATGAATAGAGCTTAACATTGTCATGAACAAACACGCATACACTTTTCGCGTAACATGTATGTTCTATTTATGACGAGTGCAGGGTCGCAAGCCCATCGACACGTTCGGGTATGTTTGATAAATTGATTTTTTATTGAAATTATGACATAAAAGAAACTTAGCCATGCCTTTGCTCGATCGGCTGGACTGCAGCGACAGTCGCACACTGACCAGAAATGATCGTCTGTTAGTTGATAGAAACGCCTTTCAACCGAGTCCCTTTTAATTGTATACTGTCGAATAAGCTACTGCAATTAGGTGTTGTTGCTATTTTATGTGTTGTCGTTCAATACAAATCGGATCTGATATAGATAAAGAATAATAGTATGATTCGACTCTGACGCCTGTTGGGGGCCACGCAACAAACACGACGACATATTGTCCACTGGCCGAGTACTATTTATCCAATTTACTCATATGTCATTTTGTCTGTTGCGACAACTAACTACATCATGTAAAATTAGTCACCGTGCATGTTCTTATATAGGTATAGATGATAAGTATCGTTAGGGCTTTACGCCCCTCATCATAACGCCTCTCGTGTCAACTTGAAGATCTCACTGCGCACAGAAGAACGTTGATTGTAACCAATATGCTTAGAAAATTTATGGGGTAGCTATCGTAGGCTGCAGGCGTCTTGCCGAATATCCTACATTTGCCCCAGAGGTATTTATTTAAGCTATGAATCATCTGATCCATGTCACTGACATCATCCCCTTACGTGGCTGCAAATTTTTTACAATAGCTCATAGTTTTTTCTTTTTACTAATTTGTATAGAGAGCTTACAGAGTCACTTAACTACTAGTGATCAAGTAGTAATAGGATTCTATAAAAGGCGTGAATGTCTATAGCACTGAAAAGACAAGCGTTTAGCTTAACATAACTACGCTGCGATAGTTAAGAAGCTGCTTTTGGTCGGGTTGAACTACGATTTAGGCGTTCTCTCTATATATTGTAAATTTTCGCTTACCTGATCTGGCACCATTTTGGCACCCAGCTTGATGAGTTCGACGATTTTGTGCGCCTCTCCATTCACTGCAGCTTGATAGAGTCTCTCGTGAATCGTGTGAAGGGGTTCCGGGGGATCGCCCACCGGAGACATCGCGTCTACCGGTGAACCTCCACAGTTAATACCAGCTATCGCCACTACTGCCGCTACAGACTGGCAACACCTGTCCAATACAGAATTACGGTAAAAGAGTTAAATGATGCGCGCACAGCTTTTTTAACGATGCTATCAATAAAAGAGGTCTCGTTTTGTGCTTCTATGCTTCGAAGTGTTAGCCATCCCACAGCTAACCTGTGTTACCGTTAGGTTGGACTTACACACACTGTAGCAGGTCATTGATGCTAGCTGATGGGTATTTCTCTTGAAAGCGCTTAAAAGTTGGTAAAATTGTTAGCCAATGGGCTATTTACACGATTTTTCAATACATCCTTGCCCAATCACGAATGTGTTCGATCTAAGTAACCTAACAAAGGTTTAATGCAGGAGAAAACAGCCAGGAGTGATGATGAATGGCTGATAACGTTAACTTATAGAAATTAACGAGGAATTAAAGGTAAAGATGGCTCTTCAAGTGCTGTCAATGTTCTATATAGCTATTTCCATTTATCACGTGGTACATAACTAACAATACAAGGACTAAGTTGAACAAGTAATTTCTTACGAAGTCACAAAGTGATGGGCTCCGTATGTCACGGCGATACGGGACGAAGTATAGAGGTAAGCTTTCGGTATGGGATGAGATGTGTCGACCCGATCCTAAAGAAATCCATTAGGACGGGCACGTCTAACGACAAAGCAAATTCGGAAGCGGCACATTTCAGCTCTGTACAAAAACAAGAGGCGTATATAAAGCCCAGCCGACACAGAAAATCCTGTTTGTATTTTGTAGGGAGGCCGTCGGAACGTAAATAAGCGAATACTCTTATGAAGTCAGTCGTGTTCTTTAGCTGTGTTTTTTTTTTGGTAAAGATCATCGGCGATGAATTTACATTGGCGTATTCACGACAGAAACAATGAGTAGTTTGTCGGCGACCAGTACACTATGAGCTTGTAAACAACAGCGCTCATGTATTTGATATAAAGCTAGTTGACGGATCTGCGCTCGATAAGACTGTTGGGCGTTCATTAGAAATTCGTTAATTATCATGAATGTTAAGCGGTCTTCCTAACTAAACAAATCCAAGCAGTGTATGTAATCGTTAATAGAAAAGAGTACTTGATAATTCATCACAACATCCTAATGATGACTAAATATAATATTGTATTTAGAAAATCCAAAATTCGTCTACATTATGGAAGCACTGACAATTTTCTTCTTCTACAATCTGCTCGTTGATCATACTGATACGTTTGTTAACCAGTATAAAAAAAGCAAACAAAGTTTGACTTTGTCTACGCATATTTGTCTTTTCGAACCGGCTAGAGAAAAATAGTTATGGCATTTTTTCCATCTTTGCCTTGACAAGAAAACATCGTACTAGAAACGACAATGCCTAAGAGCATTCGGTTAAAAGGTCGACAACGATTTCCGTAAACGTTTGCCGCATTTCGTTGAGAGCAAAATTAGTTGCTCGGTCCAGGTGCAATCAATGCTACATTGCCAACGTTTAATTTAATATTAAGAAATTATAGCATTTATATCAAACGCTATTTCAACTACTGCATTCTTAAGCAAAGACATGGGCAATAGTTACACAAGACATACACCGATAATTATAATAGCACCATCGAAAACATTTGCATATTGAACCAATGCCGTAAATTTTCGGGAAAATGAAATCCAAACGCCTGCGCTTTTAAACAATAAAATGGAAACAAATCGCGCTATTCCTCATCGATGAGGCCATCATTCAAAGTGTATTTAGAGGAAGGATGTACACGTGTTTCGTTTGGTGCCTTCCACTGTGTAGACTAAATACGTTTTAGGAGAAACTGTGTGCTGGCAAACAAATATGGACCAAGTGAGTATCTGCCTGCTAAAGGCAGAGCCCACCTTCCGCAGTCGCTAAGGGTAAAAATCATAGGCTTCTGCGATAGCGTGATATTGATCTACTATTAACAATAGAAAAAAACCCGCCCACCATCACCGTTCGTTCCTGCGAACTTTCTCTACTATTGCCAGAAGCCACGAACACGTGATAATGGTCCCTTCGATTCTCGCCGTGTAATAGCGCCTTTCAACATTCACCATGGAGAAATTCGAAAAAGAAACCAAAAATAATTAGCGTCAAAGTAACGGCAATAATATTAAAAAGCAGAAGTCATGTTGCATCGACACTGGAAGCTTGTAGGTCTAAAACCCTTTCGAATACCACGCGTCCACTGAATCTAGATACATATATTATGATGGATGCGTTACTTATGAAACGTATCACCGACGCCGTTGAGAATCTGCGAAGTGAGAAACGGACCTGAGTTAGTTAATTTATTATTATCCTAAGGCCACTGTCACCTGAAGCTTATGCAGCATAAATAACGCGATCAAATGGTGACCGCATAGGGGCACTGCAGAACGAGAACAACACCGGGCAGTAGAGTGTTAAGGACGAATATATCCATTAATAGTATTGTTAAATTAAAGATTCGAGAAAAAAAAAACCAATAGAGACAGTAATATTGAACTTGGCACAGAGCAAATTAATGGCGGTCCCTATCATGCAGCATTATACGAATGAACACCTACAGATAGATACATAGAGACAAAATGTTGTTCAAACAATAAACAAAGGGCTATGTCATCGAATATGACTCGATCTACCTGGCATATACGCATGCGACAAACGCTTACAGGTTCAGTATCGATGTTATTATAATTATAGGTATTATGAAAGATATTGCAGAAAACGTAGCTGCACTGGCCTGTTGGGTTTGGGAGGCCCATTTATTTACACTTAATTGAAGTACTTCAGTGATTCGCAATGAGTGCCGTGTCCAGAGTAATCAATATTGCAAAAAAGCACAGCGAACAAAGAGATCGAAATAACTGACCATTGAAGAGCTGGCTGACTAATCGAAATAGCTTTAGAGCTTTAAGCTTAAGAGTTTTAGAGTGATGGTCACAATATCGCTATAATATCCAAAAACCAATCCAGATCTTATTGGCAATCGAATTACTGATGTGGGGGTTGCGTCGTGCTCGTCAACAGTACAACCATTTTCTAAGTTTAGCCTTATAACTAGCGTATGCTAGACATGCGCCGGAACGTGTACAGAACGTTACTTTCAAATATGATTCATTTACTCTGTGCTTCCTGCCATAGATAAAAAAAATCGAGATAATCCAAACCGTGATAATAATAATAACGATAAGCACATTACAGTCATTTATTTAATAGTTATCTAAGTACGGTATTAACACGAGAAGCACGTAAAGATCAAGGAGCTCAGAGCCGCTTGTAGACTGCAGATCTGAGCATTATGGACGTCTATGTCTATATATTGGCGCAACTATAGAGCGCGTTTCCTTCATCGTCGCCATGCTTCCGGCGGTCGCTTTTACAACGAACAGTGCTATCAGCGAAATTCTATTCAGACCCCATTCGAATTACTTCTTTTATTTATTTAAGGCTGTCCTGCCGGAGGTGCCACCGGGGTCGCAGGGAGTTCCCATAGGGAAAAACCCATAGCCGGCTTCTCGAGCGGAGACATATCTTCGAAATGGCAACCCCCTAGCTCCGATCGCTACGGCTCGGGGAGTTCGTTCGCTTGCGCCTCTCGTCCCCGAAGCTGCTGCGCCAATTCTAGCCTGGATGGAAGAGCTCCGGGAGGCACTTCGTGTGGCACACGCATGGTTTACGCGAACTGTGGCAGCGGCGACTTAATGACAACGGTAATATATCGTCCAATTAACAGTAATATATTAGAGTCCACTGGGTGCGGGGTGAACTTACCGCTAGCATTGAATTTATAACAATGACGAGTTTCGACCGCTAAGCGGTTGGCTAGCCCAAAGCCAGCCGGTAAGGGAAGTACGTTTATTATAATCATGTACTCTGCGCGAATATGCATATTTACAGGCAACAAATGGGCAGCTCCTATTACGGTATTAAAAAAAAACATTTCTAATAAGTTAAAGATGGCCCTTATTGACAAGGCGAAAAGAAAAAAAGAAGCAAAAAGATATAAGTTCCCGTATTACGAATGATCAAATATCGCTAATTGAGTTGTGTACTTCGGACCGAAGATTATCAGTTTCCTTGGGCTCAAAGCGTCATTTTTAAGAACTTCTTGTGGTGATTATTACGTATGCTATCTCGAAACCGTATACGATACTTCTCAGAATACGATAATTACATGCTGTTCGATATTCGTCCTTCTTAAAAAATATGCTCGTTCGTTAAAGTTCGATCAAGTTTTTGGCTTCATTCCCAATCACTTACACGACATCTGACTCCGAGTATCGACCAGTGTCTGAGACGGGCGGAAGACACCAACTTTTCCTATCGCCGTGCTCCGTTGATGAAGTCAACCCGTAACTACCGATTCTATTCATTTGAAGTTCAAATGTATTCAGATATACACTAGCCTCATTATTGAGCAGGTACTTCTTTTTATTAGACATAACAGTTTGTGTCCGCACACCTATCTTGCCCCGCACAGGCTAGCATTTTTAGGCTCAATGTCAACGTCAGTTCATTCAACGTGTGCCAATAGGGGTGTCGCAAAGTTTCGAACGGGTTCCTCTATGCCCTCGACTGGAACAATTCTAGTGTAATAGTCGCTGTTTGTTTGATTCGTGACTGGTTGAAGTACGACCTGCAGCAAAAGCCAGGTTGGCTCAGACTATTGTTGTCCTAGTAGGTTTAAGGGCTATGCTATTTGATATTTCTCGTTAATGCATTTTGCAATTAGTAATATTCTAGAAGATGGCCGTGGAAGACACCTGTAAATCAAATAAACGTACTGTGATGGCGGCGGCAGTGTCTATCAATGATAGACATTCAAAAATACTTTATCTCATCGCGTAAATGTACATATTTGTTTGTCCGTTTATTGCCTGGTTGATAGATGTTAATTGCTGCTTGCGTGGATAACTAAAACATTGCGAGACTGTTGGTATAACCATAACACAATTTTTCTGTGACAATAGATGGTGTCCTCGGACATCTCGCTCCAGTGTGCATCTAGGCCACGCTGGGGCAATGGTGCTTCCTTGCACGACATCAACATATTGACAAATGTATATTATCTATTCTGTCTAACTATATCTATCTGTGTATCTATAATATATTTACATAGAGCCATGTAGCATATAGTTTAATGTACGCGTAAATCGTCAAATGTGCCGTTACTCCATTTGTAAGAAGATGAAATCCATTCGCGAAGCTAAGATTCCAGTTAAACTTGTTATATTTCATCTCCTTGTCCTTATTTGAATGGATCACTGTTGTGCTCGATCGCGCTAAACCAGTGGATTAATGCAGAATGTCAGTAGAAGTAGGAAGAATCCTTAGTAGACGACACTCCGCACCCAGCATGTTGCGAGCTGTCCTAGGTCTCAGCCGGTTTTTCCTATTCTAAACATTGAGTAACTAACTCTTCGCTTCTAGACACGTTGCGTGTGTCATAAAAAGTACACAGGTGAAAGTATGATTCGTTTTTTTTTCGGATTTTGTGAATACTGCCAGCTACCGTTATTTCATTGATGAAACGCGCCATCTGCTGATATTCGTTGTGTTGTTCCATAATGGAACAGTGGGACCACAAGGTACAGTCAGTCGATCTTAAACACTACAATAACTATAGAGCAGTCTTGAATCGAGCTGAAAATTAGTGGACTATATTAATGGGCACCATAAACTTACAATCATGACGTAAACACTTGACTGAGACCGCCTTGACGCTCAGCAGTATTAGCGCGACCATACGTAAGTTCTTAGCAAACGACTCATAATTAATTAATTAATAATCAAAAACCCAATACTGATAGCGACATGGTGACAAAAATATCACTCTTGATAGTAGTATCATTCCTAGCAATCTGTGCTAACCTGATGACGGAAGTGCTGGCCTAAAGAAAGTCCCGTTGCAACCTGGGGGCGTAAAGCAAATACCCCATAAGGCCTTCCATGAATAAACGGTCATGATGTATTAATGCACACGAACTTACACCCTCATGATTCTCGTTTGTGTCCATGATAAAGCCAACTGACGTTAACGTCGGCAGGTAGCCTTAAACATGAATTCCCATTAATATAAGGATTACAAGATGAACATTTGAACGGCGCCGGCGGGAACTGTAAATTGAATTTCATTTGTCAGTGATTCAAATTAACGAATGCAGCATGAACTTGTGCTCGTTGCGTGTAGGGTTCATGGCTCATAGAAAATTTCTACTGTGACCTATATGTTTGCTGTAGCTGCATGGCCGAATAACAGGCGCTTTTTACCCTCATCAGAACCTCGAAGTCTCACTATCCTCAAAAAAAAAGTAATAGACATCAACATCCATTAAGCATTCGAGGAAATTAATAAAGCGGCATTGAGCCTCACGTTGAGCCGGAAACGACAAATCAGTGAAGCTAATAAAATCTTCTTGAAAATCATACTTTAAAAAATCACTCAACACTTCTGAAAGCTTTTCAAATGATCCCGTCTTAGACATTAACACGATCCTATCGTACCATGCGCTGATTCGAGTAGAGAAATCCGTTCCGCATTTCTACCTCAATTCAAATTCTGTTGACGTCGGTTAATGATTTCTGTGCACAGAACTGTTGATGCGTGTGTATAATATATCGCGTGTAAATGCTCACTAGGTGAATCGGTCCTAGATAATCAGCCATCAGATCAAATCAGATCACGTCATACAACAGCACGTACTCCCTGCGGTGACTAGCCGAGTAACACGTATATTGAACGTTCTCTTAGTCCTGTTTCTTCTGGCTTCGTGGTTCCATTCCAGCGAACCACTTACTGCCGGCTCAACTTAATACATCACCACTGATAGCAACGGCACCGTCGCTTTTACTCCACGCGCCATTATAACCGCGCCCCATGGTAGAATAGGTGAGCCGCGCGAACCACCGATACAGCGTTGCTATCCCGCTATTGCTGGCACAATCAAAAAGTAGAGGGTCTAATAGTAATATTGCTTACTGGGAGATAAATCCCTCTTCCTTTTCGTTACCGTCGGCTTTGCCGCTGTGTTGTGAGTCCTTTAACGGACTTCTGTCGTTTGGCCCGTATTGCTACGCCAACCTCCTTTACCTCTGCCGTCTCTGTCTAACGGAGGGGTCAGTCAGTCGGTCGGTCAGTTCAGCTTGACTAAGTTCAGAGCTGAGAAACGATCGGTCCGGTCGGCTCAACCGGACTGTCGCGTCCAAGCCCCATATTGCGCTATTTCCCATGTCTAGCGGCCCGTTCTGTTACAGGTAGCGTCCACTCCACTAGACCATTATCAACTCGCTCGGGCGTCTGTCTGACGGTCCGGCTGTAGTATCTGTCAGACATCCAGCCAACATCCGTTCGTAGGCAGGCATTTATCCCTCTCTACGCATCCTGTCTCTGACCCCAGTTGACGTATGTCAACTATTCTCGGATTGCAAAACACGTGTTTCACCACACACGTCAAACGCCAAGCTGCTAGCGGGGAGGCCCAAGAACACCCAAGCTGTAACAGACGTTCGGCAAGATATGGCACCGCGACCCATGGGACAGTCAGTCAGCGGCGCGCTAAGATCTCTGATGCATTCAGAATTTCATCAAACAGAAAAAGAAAATACTGTCCAACCACTCACTCAGGAACAAACAGTCGGCTCCGACTGTCGCTGCTGTCGAGCGCTGGGCCTAGGTCAGATGTTGCAATGCAAGAAGACATCACCTGTGTACGATAGACGTCGTTGTATTGCCAGTTTTTTTTCTATCGTTGTTTCGTCTCTGCCGCAGTAGCAGCAAAAATAATCGTGTTGGTGCTGTCACCTAGTGAAAACGTGCTCACAGACAATGGTCGACCAATGGTAGAACAATCCCAATAGCAGCACGATGAACTGCGGCAGCAGCTCCAGCTCGAAAGGTAGTAGAAGTAGCGGTAAAAAAAAGAGCACGTTACGCTCTTTCGCGGTGATGATCATCTTATAAGCAAGCTTCTACTGGTATTGTTGGACGATACGTATAGATCTAGCCGGACGCATAGATTAACGGCAGCAATAGGAACGTGAAAGAAGACGTACTAGTCGCCGCTTACTAACACTGTACACTGGTATCCGTTCGTCCGTCGGTGGCCATATTTGCCAAGTTCTGCCGTGCAGCATGGCAGTGCCATTTCAGTCGGATAGCACCACTAGCACGGCTAGCGTCATGCACAGAGCAAGCAATGCGTCTCTTTCCCGCAACGATAAAACGTTCCAGCTAATTCGACATAAGTCTCAGCGCGTTCGTAACCAAACTCATATGCAGAAGCATTCACGCTTAGAGGCATCGATATATAACGGCAGGCATACGGATATCACAAAACAAAAGTAACACCAACGGCCATCGGGAATTTGCTCGTATACAAGATAACAACTCCAGCTGTAAGACGACATAGACATAACTAAGCATGAAAATTATCAACAATGAGGGACCATGTCGTCGAATATATGGAAGATTATAGCTCTGTCGTTCGTTACACTGCACGCTTCGCACTTGATGAGTGGAAAGTTTCGGCAAAAGTAGATGCTTTTTTCCATCATTATCTAGACGAAAATCGTCACTTCGGCAAATTCCAGCCGCAACGATCGTCCCATGCAGTGCACGCTGACAGGCGTAAAACTTCCTACGCATTCATGTATTGAAGGGTGACCAATTGACGCGCGAACCCTGGTTTAAACAATGCGTATTCATACCGAA